TGCCACTGGGTTAGTGCCCTCAAAAGGGATTGTGGTACATGAATCCCTTCCTCTTTCTTACATTTCGTGGTCATGAGGTGAATGGTTTTGCTCTACTGTGCACTCTTGACATGATATGCTGACTCACCATAAACCCAAAAGCAACAGGCCCAAATGATAATGGACCAAAGTCTCCTTTACAGATTGATTACCTCAGTTATTTATTATAGTGACAGAATACTAACAGAAAATTAGTACCAAGAAGTGGAACTAGCTTTTCAATTATTGTACACCTGTTGATATGCAAATAACCTTTGGAATTTGCTTAAGGGAGAAGTTTGGAAATGTTTGGAGAACCGGGATAGAAACAGTCTAAAGTACATATGCAGAACTTAATAGATAATTTTGGTGAGGGCTCAGAAGACAAGAATGTGGATAGTAAAGGCTATGTTGTTGAGGTTTCAGATGGAAATGAGAATTCCATTGAAAATTTGGACTAAAAGGCACTCTTGTTATATGATGGTTTAAAAAAATCTGGAAACATTTTGTCCATGTCTTTGTGAGAGACTTTGTGGGAGGTTGAGCTTAAAGATGATGGACTGGTTCATCTGGGAGAGGAAATTTCAAGGCAGCACAGCATTCAGGCTACAGCATGGGTATTCTAGGCTGATTTTAGCTCATGAGAATGAGGAGAAAAAAAGGAGCAAAGCAAAAACAAAATTGAAAATTTGTAACTTGGCCAGAAAAGAAAGAGCACACAGAAAGTTTCGACCAAGAAGGGTATAGATGTTAGCACAACCAAAAAGAAGGCAAATGTTTTGCTCTTAGATGTCTCAAGAATTGCATAAATTGGCATGACTATAGCTGTCATGTGCTCTGAGAAGTGAAAATGCAAAATTATTTGGAAAATATTCAAGAGAAAAATCATATGAGAAAAGATTCCTAGGAACACTGTTTTTCCTTGACTGCCAAGGGAATCATTTTCCCATGTTAAGCTGGTATGTTACTCAGAGGCTGCCACACCTCTGGTTGAAGCAAGCCCAGAGACAGCTTCATCCAAGAGGAAAACTTTGGCATTATCCACATGATGCTGGGTTGGCAAGCACACTGAATGCAAGATGTATAGGATCATGGTGGTTTCCACTGATATATCAGAAGTCCTGGATGTCATAAAGTGTGCAGCAGGATTAGAATCCTTGCCAGCAGCTCCCAAAAGAGCAATGCATGAAGCTTTAGAAATTAAGCTGGAAATGCAGTAGAGACTCAAGGAAGATAAAGATATCAGCAACCTCCAATATTCATTAGAGAAAGCTATAGGAAGCAGGTAGAACTAGCCTGAGAGAATGTCCATGTTCACTACAAACAGTAAGGCTATAGGGAGGGGCAGGGCTCTACAAGCCCATGGGGGCCTGTATTCTACCACAAGTTGCCCCAGATGTTGGACATGGAAATTTAGTAGTTAGTGTTTCTTCTTCTGGGTTATGGTCTTGCTTTTGGTTGATTCCTTTTCATATCCGTTTT